GCTGTGACGTCACATATTTGAAAGTTTGTGTTTGGAATATGGGAAGCCTAAGATGTTTAATGAAAAATAAATGCCAGAACCGTGTTCCTGGTCATCCAATCTATAAAGACGGGCACAATTTAACTGGTTTTAACAACATTTTAGAAGGTGGGATAGTCCCTTTAAGCAACAAGCTCTGATAACTGATAAGCGCCGGGTCAGGCTTTCCTCCCGTCACTGAAAGCCCTAAATGCAATATTGCAAATCCCAATTTACGGATGCTTAACCCGGTCTTGATCTAACTCTTGATCTCGCACTCAAGTTTCAGGCACTCATAAGAAGCTTCTGTCTCAATCTTTTAATTGCTCGCTTATGTCACTGCTGCTTTTGGTTCCCAAGGTTTGCCCAGGTTAAGGCGTTTAGCCACCGCCCCTGCCCCACCCCCACCCCACCCCCGTGTTGATGAACCTCCCCAGCTGCAATTGTCGTGATGATGCTTGAAAGTCATATTATCTTTCGCTGTTTCAGGTCATCTAAAAAAAGGCGGCACAGAGGCAGCACGAGAAGTCGCACTCGCTCGAAGTGCTCAGGGAGGTGCAGAATGAGCAGCTGCGAGAGCCAAGGGTAAGCTACAGTTCAGTAAATAAATCTGATCAGGATGCATGGAAAAACGGTTTTGACATACCTAAACGATCAAGTTACCTACAACTTACATCCTATCAACCGACAACCTTCAACCTACGACCTACAATATCTGCTGTGGCACTGATGTGGCATTTAAAATTCATGTCCCCGTCAATGTCTCAAGAGCTGTGTTTGAAGCTCTAACCTGTTATTATTCTTAGGACTGCATCCAGTGCAAGGAGAAGGACGAGATCATCGGAAAACTGCGGAAACAGATCGAAGTGCTCCAAGACATCAACATCACCAGCAACAGTAAGCGTTGCCTTACACTACTAGTTATGATAACACACTTTTCAACAAATTTTATGCTGATGCAAAAATACTTTTTAGTGATGCTGTAGTCTACTTTGCTTTTGACAGTAGTTTAGGAGATATATGGGGGACAAGACAGTGGGTCGTTTCGGCCCCCTTCCCCTATGGGGCGCGGGTTAATACATTCATGAGACTGCCGAGTTTATTCTGAAAGCGCCCCCTCCCCCACCCCCACCAACCAGGGCAAAGGTTACTGGGTTTTGCTAATGAGGCTTGCTGGATGTTGTTGCAGACGTTCATGGACTCGCAAGGCGCCTTGAAGACGCCGTGATTTGGCTGGAAGAAAACAAAGGGCGGCTTGCGAAAGATGTACATTCGGCTCCTGAGTCGGGGCGGTCTCACCGTGCCCACCAGACACTGGCTCGGGTCTTCAGCGAGATGGAGGCCACCAAGAGGCCAACTTCTGCGCCGTCCACCAGGACCAAGGTCAGCTGCGGCGCAACAAGCAGCCCGACCACCTGTCACGCGATTCCTGTACGCATTTGGTTAAGCATTTCATCTTTTTTTATACAATCCTGCATTACCCATGTGCATTTAAGCATAAATTTTGCTATGTTGACATTGACAAAGCTATTACAACACGGTGCATTGTGTTATCGTGTTAATTTCATTTATCTCCAACCAAAGTCGTTTGCATGTTGTCCCATTTGTTAGAGTTCAAAATAAAATGACGTGCACGAGGTAATTGTGTAAATTATTTCTGACTAAAAGAAGGGCTCTAGGATTTCTACTATACAAATACTTTGCCATTCCTTTTTTGTTGACGTTCCTTAATTGATTGGATTTTTTGCATTATTTGTAACATTGCAATGTATTTTGATTGTCGGGCAGGTATCCGTTGTCAACGTGGACGACTACGACGACGCTGATACAGGTGCCTCAGCCAGCCCAAGGGGCGAGGCGGGAGCTTCCCACCACCTATCCACCCCTGCTCGTCCACTGGCAATGCCGTCGACCAGTCGGACCGAAGCCGAAACTCCCACGAGGCGGCCAACTCACCATGACGTGAATATGGTAAAATACTTACCGGCGGCTGTTCGATGCTCATTCTTCTTGTGTGCACTCAATGGGTTCTGGAGGTGGTTTTTAGTACATTCACCTTACCAATCACTGCCGGCTTCATTTCTCTTGAATTAGTGCTGAGTTGTATATCACTTTTGTCTACTAAATTGCGCTACGAAGACGCGCGGTCCGAGCTATCGCAAAGGAATGAGGGGGAGGGGGACAGCAAGTGTCCTCCGCCCGGCGAGGCTTAGAGCGAAGTAAAGGTAGAAAGTAAAGGTAGCCCGCATGGTGTAGAAAGATTCAGAAAGATCTCCTGCGGTATTTAAAGGAATGTATGTTATTGGCAACACTGATTCAGAATACCTGTGTTGTGACTTGTCAATGTCCTGCCAGGTCACCATCGGGCCCTTCACGGCCATCACATCTGCGGCCTTTTGCCTCATCAACTTTGATGACAAGAAGAAGGCCATTCGCGACATGATGATGGCCGTATTCGGAAAAGAGGTGCTGGGCAGCTCCTCTATGAGGGGACACCGGACAAGCATGTCCCCTCAACAAGAACAAGGGGCTTGAGCAGCCGACGAGGCCGGCCCTTGATCAAGGGAAGCTTCGTGATGTTATCAGTAAGTGATGTTTAGCCTTGCTGTTCATCAGCCAGCCATACCTGGTGATCGGACGGTATGATAGTATGATTCAATAAGGACTCGGTGAATGTTCTTAATTTTACAACCATGTTTTATTGATGTTATTGATATTCATGCCATTTTTAGTATCAGACAGTTTAGAACAAAAATACTTGTTTTCACTTTAACGCTGATACCCGCTTCAAAGATTATTAGCAAAATAGCATTGCTCAAAAATGCAATATAAATATAATACTGAAATATGTAAATAAAAAATATCCAATTAAGAATAGAATAAAGCATTTTGAAAATGATCTTTATTATATTCATTTAATGTGAATAGTAGTGACTAGTGAGTGAACAAAACTGAATACTGTATCGATGTTTTCTTTTTCTTTTTTAGCGTTCTTGGTCAACCGGCTGAAGATGCCCGAGTCGGAAGTAAAGGACGTGATAAGAAAGAAGATAAACGACGAGAACAGCGCGGCCCTGAAGGCCAAGAAGAGGGCCGAGCAGGGCCAGTAAGGGCGCAGTGTCATTTTGATCTCCAAACTGGTTATTAAAAAGTAGAAGTTTATATGTTGAAAATAAACACAGGAATGCACAGTGGGAGTATAGAACGGCACAAATTACCAAAATAAAAAAGTGGATGAAGCTGGGCCCAACTTTTCAGCACAGCCAAGATCATCTACAACTACTGAGTTTGCCAGTAAGACTGGCTGAAGAAATATGTACCATTTTATAGATCAAAACGCTAATAATAAAAGTGCCGGTAAATTGCCGCAAGAACGTCCACTTTCTGTTCCTCTCAATGCCACTGCAAGAAAGCGGCAAGGTCCTATAGTACCGATACAATAATATTTTTGCTTATTTATCTATTCTGAACCATTTCTCAATTTCTATTTACTACCAAATGTCAATTATTTTCAACAAATATAATGTATTATATAAGTAATGTTTCTCTCCCTTTTTGTACATCATTTAACCCTATTAGTGGCAGGCTCCTGGCTACCCCCTATTAGTGGCAGGGGGGGGGGGCTGTTTACGACCCCCCCTTGATATCTCGAGATCTAACGGGCCGATTTTCAAAATTCAAACGGCATTCGATTTCTCTCAACGAGATCTACATTTCTAAAAAAAAAAAAAAATTGAAAAATGTCAATAGGGGGGTAGAGGGGGGTAAAAACGGGCGAATTGCAGATACATTTTAGACTGTTTATCACGGCCAGGTTTCTGAACCAATCTTAACGCAACTTTTGCCGATCGATAGAGAATGAACCAGGAATTCACATGGATCCTAAAAATATGCATTTTCAAAAATCATAGGCGGATACAGATCATTGAGATTGGGGGTACACAAAAAGTATAGTAAATAAGGTTTTTGTTGGTACTGTTTCTAAAAAGGGTGTCAATGGTCTTGTTATGTTACAATTTTCTTATGAGAGAACGACTAAAATTGTATTGGTCATGCATAGGCGGTGTCAGGGCACCTATGTTGGGAGGTAAAAAATAACCCCCCTTTTTGGACGCCTGGATCCGCCTATTATAGCAAAAACGTGTCAAAAGAGGATGCACAATAACTTTATATATGTTATCACATGATACCTTTCATTCACTGTTCGTAAAACTGGTGCAGCATCGTGATCTTCGCCCAAATGACTCGCTTCACGAATAGGACCCCCCAATTCCCAGTGCTCTGGAGCCGCCCCTGGTAAAGTTATGAACTTGAAATTTTCAGGGAATGTGCCCAATTTAGTTTTAGGAAAAGTCAGCAAATTTCAGCATCGTAGCTTCAGCGGTTTCGGAGATATTCCCGAAAAACCTGAGGGGTGGATAAAAACAACCCCCCCTGCCACTAATAGGGTTGAGAGCAAAAAACCTCGAATTGCTTTATTTCTTCCTATTAAACAATTAGGGATGGTGGCCCTTCCCCATACAATGAACAAAAATGTTTGAAAAATATTTGGTGTGTTAAAAAAAACATTATTTGGCATGGTGGCAAAGTCACCCCTTTTTCAGTTTAACTTTGCCACGACTTATTTTCTTTAAAAATTTATATTTTTAGGCAAGATATAAATACGATAATAGCAAAACCCAAAGAGTTAATCTTCATCCGTGTCTTGAACATAGTCATCCAAATAAGTTAACAAGTTTAAATAATACAAGCGTCTAAAGTTGAAAGCATGGCAAGGTCACCCCCGTTTACGGTATATGCATAGATGTCGCAGCTATAGCGACACATGCAGTGCAAATGGTAGCAGACAGCAGTAGTTCCCCCTACCAAAGTGGCGGTTTTCTACCACAAATGCTCGTCGAGGTCGGAATTTCCAAATACGCCTGTTTCAGTCCATCAACTACCGTCTGGATAGCTGGGGTCATGCCATGAAGTCGCAGCGATGGGAGAGAGAGAGCGACACCACGCGCGGCAGGCCGCCGCCGTGGTCCCGATGCGACAGCAGGCCGACTTCCTTGAGGTATGCCGCTTTAATTGCATTTTATTCCTAGACGAGTGGAAGCTATTTAAGTTAAATGTGTGATAGTGTGATGATGACGATTTTGTTAATAAATTGCATTTGTTTCAGTGTCAGCTTCTAAAAGACAAGTTGGCAGAGGTGCCAGTGGAGCCGGTGAGCTACCAGGCAGCCAAGGCAAGCCGCCATATCCTGATGACGGCGGCGCTGGTGACCTGCGTTGGTCGGCCTTCACACGTGACGGGGCTGACGGTTCCTTATCTGAAGGCCGCAAAGGTATGTCCATTAGCGACCTTTCATGCTCTCTCCTCAATTGTGTATTGTTTTCCCTTGTTGCATTGTTAGCTGCGCGAAGCTGCATTGTTTTCAGACTCATGATGTTTTCTACCTTTTCTATTTCCACAGGCAGCCATCATCAACGGTAAGAAGTCCCGGCTCATCCGGAACACCGACTACACGACTGCCGACTCAACGATCCTGGACGTGACAGTGCCAGAGGCCATGTGGAACGGATGATCCTCTTCGTCGACCGGGAGAGGCCGGCAATATACTGCGGCGCCGGCTGCAGTGATAAGGTATTACACTCCGGCTGCAGTGATAAGGTATTACACATATCTAAAGCGCCCACAATGCTTATAAATGTCTATGCATTACATGCTAGCTTTTCAGTTAATATGAATTATGTGTAAGAGTTAATGAACGAAGGAATCAAAAAGGGTGTGTAAACAAAGACATCATTCGCAAGTTCCATTAGCATGATGCAGTTTATATCAGTTCAGCCATTGTGTTCATGTTGTGAAATTTAAATGTTATGACGTCTGTTTACAGGTCCTTATCACACGCACCGGAACCAAAGTACATACGTCAAACGCCAACCGGCTCTTCAAAGGCGTGTGGTGTCAGGCCTTCGGCGAGGCGGCCGCAAACTTCGCGGCCCGTGGCGGCCGCTTTGGGGCCGTGATGGCCACGGTGGAGAATGCCCCGGACAAGCAGCAGTAAGCATTCGAGATGTATTTTTAGTTTATCTTGCACTTTTCGTCACCAACAGAAAGTCAAACTTTCTTCTTTTAAGTATATTCGTTTCAAACCTCTCAATGGCAAAGATCTTATTTGAAGCAGCATAACCGCAGCAAACATTCATTGATAACAAAGTTTTTGATCTACTTTAAGTTCTACTTAAGTTTTGATCAACGAAAAGTTCCCCCAATATATTTGAAACTTCTTATACACTGGTACGGGCATCAGAGAATGAGTGTCAAATGGGCCAGTAAGGAATCAGTGTCATTTTCCATCCAGAATGGTGTAAGACAGGGCGGAAACCTCTCCCCATTGCTATTCAATGTATATATTGATGATCTGTTGATTAAGTTGCGTTCTCTTCGAACTGGATGTTTTGTTGGCGATTGTGCCGTCAGTGCAGTGGCGTACGCACATACAGGACATTCCGTGCATGCCCTGTCCCTTTGGCTCATCGTCCCCGGCGCCCCTCTGTCCAGTGTTGGCGCTCCTCCAGTCGATAGCGGCGCGCTTCTAGTTGATGGCGAAGCCCCTCTGTCCAGTATTGGCGCTCCTCTGGTGATAGTGGCGCCCTCCTAGACGATATGGTGGCGCGATGGCGCCCCTTTGTCCAGTATTGGCGCCCCTCCAATCGATAGCGTCGCGCTCCTAGATGATGGTGGGTGGCGCCCCTCTGTCCAGTGTTGGCGCCCCTCCAGTCGATGCCCTGGTCCTTCGCAAATTCCTGGGTACGCCACTGCGTCAGTGTCATCGCCTATGCGGATGATATAGTGCTTCTATCCCCCACCAGACAAGGGCTTCAGACTCTGGTGGATCAGTGTGAATGTTTTGCTGTGTCCAGAGATATAAGGTTTAATGTGCAAAAAACTGTGTGCATGGTTTTTAACCCTAGGAAGCCTTATAAAGCTAGTCATTTAATGAACTCTAAGGAGCCAAAAATCGCACTGTGTGGTGAGAATCTGAAATGGGTCAGTCAATTTAAATACCTTGGCCATATCATTTCTAATGACTTATGTGATGTGCCCGATATTCGAAGGGTAAAGCGTTCAATGTACTATATGACCAACATGCTTTATGCAAAGCTCAGGCATGCTAATAAGAGTTTACTTATAAAATTATTTAAGTCATACTGTACACATATGTATGGATGTGAACTATGGAATGTTGATACCAATCAGAGATCTCTTCGTGAAATGCATGTAGCGTATCATCGGTGTATTAAAAAGCTTATGAATTTGCCCCTTGGAACCAGAAATCATGAACTGTGTCATCGAGTCAAATTACTTACTTGTCCTATGCTTCTGGCTAAAAGACAGCTCATGTTTCACCGTCGCATCAATCAAAGCAGTAATGGTATTGTCCAGTGTATTAGAAATAGTGTAATAGGCCGTAATGGATTATCTGCGAAAGCTAGCCTCGCAATACGGAGACGCTACGACCTACTAGGCTTGGATTTCAGTGCCATAACTCCATTTGACTTACAAAACATATTTATGTCAAACATTGAGCGTATAGTCAATGAACGCATGATGAGGCGGGACCACCTAGATGTAATGACCTAGATGCCTGACTGGGTAAAACGTAGCTGAGCTATGTCTGCATGTTCGTGTGTTGTGTTGGTGTGCATTGTTATGTGTTGAATATGTACCGTGAAATATCGGTGCGAAATAAATGGATTATTATTATTATTATTATTATTTAATTGCCAACGTATAAATACATGTCAGGGCCTCGTCTAAGGAATTTTCACGGGGGGGGGGGGGGGTGCAGAGGCCGAAGGAGCCAAACCTAGGGTACCTACCCCCAAATCCTGTTTTCCTCCTCACTCGAGGGCACGAGTGAGGAGGACGATATGGAGACGAGTCCATCCGAGACCTGGAGCCGCCTCCACCAGCGTGCATGGAGGAGCTGGGACTGGATCCCAACGGTGACTCGACCGAGGTGGCCGACCCCAAGCTCCGAGCGCAGCGCTACGGCATGGCGTACGCAGCTGGCTTCATCGCCAAGAAGTGCTCTCGGCTGGGCGCCCGCACGGACACCATCACAGAAGATGTCGCCGACGACGCCCGCTGGATTCGGCTCCTGAGTCGGGGCGGTCTCACCGTGCCCACCAGACGCTGGCTCGGCCTCTTCAGCGAGATGGAGGCCACCTTCTGCGCCGTCCACCAGGGCCAAGGTCAGCTGCGGCGCAACAAGCAGCCCGACCACCTGTCACGCAAGCCAGGCGTCGTTCGAGGCCTGGTGGCCCGTCTGCGTGCAGTGGCGGCGGAATAGGGGGTGCAGGGGGTGCAGCTGCACCCCCATCGAAAAACATGGGGGTGCAAACATATCTTTTTGCACCCCCAAAATCCGTACAAGGGGCCCGTCGCACCATCCAATACATTTCTCCTGAAAACCAGTGATCGTGAACCGAACACTGATGTGGAATAATCCGGTATGTCCAATTATGGTCAGGAGCGCCCCATGCTAGTCTTTGGGGCCCCCACACCGGCTAGAAGTGTCCTGAGCCGCGTTTGGTGCTCCACGCGGCATCTGAGGGCCCCCCCCACGACGGCCTCAGAGGGCCCTTTTATGACGATCTCTGAGGGCTCCCAACTGAGGGCTTTGTCCCCTAGGGCCCTACAACGGCCACTAAGGGCCCTCATGACGACTACTGAGGGTCCCACAGAGACTCCAGGGCCCCAAGGAGACTCCAGGGGCCACGCTGGCCTCTGAGGGCACCTATGACGGCTTCTGAGGGCCCTTACGATGATCTCTGAGGGCTCTCACGACGAACTCTGTCCCCTGGGGCCCTATAACGACCACTAAGGGCCCTCATGACGACCGCTGAGGGTCCCACAGGACTCCAGGGGCCCCACTGGCCTCTGAGGGACTCTACGACGGTCTCTGAGGGTCCTTGTGACGGCCCTAGACCCAACTCAAGTCTGAAGGCCCATTTGGCTTCAGACGGCCCAGCGACGGCCTCTGAGGGCCTCAACACAACCAGGCTGCAGGGGCTATGCTGGCATCTGAGGGCTCTGCAACGGTCTATTGAGGGCCCTAACAACAATGGCCTCTAGCGGTCTTACCAAGGCCTCTGAGAGCCCTGCAAAGGTATCTTAGGGCCCATGAAGACCCTCAATATGACCAAGGACCCTCATGACGACCTCTGATGATCCTCTCGAAGGCTTCTAAAGGCCCTCACAACAACTCCTGAGGACCCAGGACGGTTCCTGAGGGGCTGAGGGCCCTGACGACGACCTCTCTGGGCCCTCACGATGGTCTCTAATACCAAACGCAAGCTCCAAAGGCCCACACTGGCGTCTGAGGGCCCCACGACGGCCTCTGAGGGCCTCGACGCAGGCAGGCTCCAGGGGCCATGCTGACCTCTGAGGGCCCTCTTGACGGCTTCTAGGGCCTAACGAAGGTTTCAAGGGCCAACACTGGCCTCTGAAGAACCCTACGACGGCCTCGGAGGGTCTCAACTCAACGCAGGCAGGTGCCAGGAGACATGCTGGCCTCTGAGGGCCACGCAGAGCTCAGATTCAGAGGATCCAGCGACCTTTGTGGACCTTACGAAATGCGAAGGTCTCCGAGAGCTCACGCAGGCTCCTGGAATTCTACACTGATTCTCAGGCCCCATGTCGGCTTGTTGAGACACTTTCTCTGCTCTTGGTGCCCCGTCGCCGGCGTCTGAGAGTCTCAATGTCGGAACTTATGGGGCCATGGGCCCTACACCGGCTTTTATGGCCCCTACACTACATCGACTCTTGGGACTCATGACCCATGAAATGTGGGTCTAAGCGGCTTCTAAGAATCCCCATGCTGGTTCTAGTAGCCGCCAGCCGAATATTAGGGCTCACACGCGAGCTCCTGGGACCCCGTGCATACCCCAGGGTTCTACCTGCCTCTAAGACCCCACACATACTTTTGGGGCTCAAACGCGTGCCCCTGAAGGCCCCACTGAGACCCCTTTCCTCTATTCAGTCCTCCATACCGGCTCTTTAGGCTAAACATCGGCTCCTGTGGCCTCCATCCCGGCTTTGGAGGGCCTCGATACAGGCTTTTTTGGCTCCGATGCCGGTTTCTGAGAGCCCTCAAAAGACTTTCGAGCCTATACTGCCTTCTGAAACCTTTCAGCAACTTTCAAGGGACCGACCCTGATCGGAGGGCTCATTCAGTCTGGGGAGTCATGTATAGGTCTCTAGAGGAGTCCCTATGTGGTCGGTTTCCAAGGGACTTCTAAACACGGTCTTCTTGGAACGGTCTCGTAGGACCCTTAATGGTCCTTCGCGGATCCAGAAAAGTGGTTTGGACGCTGCGGGTGGTGGCTAGACTAAAAGATTAGCCGATAAAAAACAAGCTGCATTTGCTTCTTTAGGTATGCTTTCATTATTTGAGACAGGTAGGTACACTGCAATTTCAAACCTTTTACAGAACCTGTGTGTATGGGAATAGTTTTCCAAAATCTTCATTTTTCATAAATCAATAATAATCACTCAAAAAAAACTGAAGGGGGGCCCAAAACTTCCAGAGGGGCCCTTTGAGAAAACTCTGCACCCCCATCC